CTCAGGTGTTGCTTTGACGCATTCCCTGCCAGGAGGAATGGTCACCCTCGCAGTTTGCAGGACAGGTTTCTTAACGATGGAGTCTGTGTATGTGGCTTTTCTGTAATGGGTTGCATGGTGCTTTCAGGTACACTAGAATTCCCCTGAAGGGTCAAATCTTAAAACCAGCTGGAAACATTTCCTTCTTGGAAGTCTGCAAAGGAGAAGATGCCCAGAAGCCTTGGGCGAGCCTGAGGCCTCTTCCTGCTTGGTACAGTCCAGTGCCACCTGTGATTTCCCAGGTTGCCTTCTCCACAGATGGGCCCCACTTCAGCAATGGCAGCCTTCCCGGAGGGCTCAGCACACATTCTTCCTCTTGTGGCCTGCCGCCCTGCACCTACCTCAGCCACCCCTTCCAGGGACATCTTCAGCTGCCACTTCTCTCAACCTGGGCAAAGCTGAATTAGTCTCAGGTCAGACAAAAAAGAATTCACCCTCGTAAAAGGCACACAGATCCACTCTCACATTCAGATCCAACTGGCAATGCCCTCCAAATTCCCAAATGGCCTTCCCTGAAATCACCCTAACAACAATCATCTTTCTCAATTCTATACCAATCATCATAATTCCAGAAATACATTCAATAAATTTTAGTTAAAATGTGTGCTTCGCTCTGTTTATGACATCTTTCATGGGAAAACAAGAAATGTGACCTAAAAACCAATATTCAAACTCAAGGCCAATGCTGGGCTCAAGTAGACAGAGCTTGGTCTCATTTTTGTTCACCAAAATAAAATGTGTAAACGGAGCAGACTGAGAGGCCGACATGTCTGTGGTCAGAGAAACTGTCCGGCTCCTCTTGATGCTGTGATGCCAAATTCCCGTTGAAAAGCTCAGCTGAGCAGGCACCTTGGTGGCTCCAAAGTTATTCCCAGAGATTCACATCAACCCAGGTTTCCCAAAATAGAAATAATACATTCTTGAAAAAGGACCAGGGTGAGGATCTGCGGTACCTACTCCTGGAGAAAGGCGAAGGTCAAAAGCATCCAGAAATGACTGATGGTTGTGCTCACAAGAGCACCAGGCCAGGCATCTGGGCTAGATTGTAGACCTGGTAACAGTAAAGGATTAGTGACAAAGCCCATCAGTAAGGAGGGAAGAGTGTTTAAATAACTCAGTACAAGTCAGGAAGTGACTGGAAGAGGAGAGAGAGCACATGTGTTCTGGAATTTGGGGAGACCGCCCTTCCTGGAAGACATGGTCCTGGCAGCTCAACTTCAAAGGAGGGAGAGAAATCTGGGGATGGCTGGAAGTAACAGCAGGGAATCAGGGTTTCCAGAGAATAGGGACACAGGCATCTCTCGGGCCTGCCTGTTGGCTGAGCCCTGCTGATGGGAGCTTGGAGGGGCTAAGGACAATAGACAGCATGGCAAAGACCAACCCCAGAGCACTGACAGCGAGTCCACCATGGAGGAAGTGCCCCGTTGCTCTTGGGAATATCTGTACTACATCTCTGCAGAAGGGGAGCTATTTCTGCAGGCATCTTCCACAAATGAGACTCATAGCCATAGTTAACCATGACCCCAGAGCACCTGCTTGAGGGGCTTGGCCAAGAAGTGGAGCATGCCCAGTTGGTGCTTAAGAAGCTCTTGGGCAGAGGCTCCAGGATCAGTGCTGGGATGAAAGAAGAAATACTACTTTCAACTAGTTTTCTAAAACCACTGCAGATCTCAGAGCATAGCAACCAATGCCCTGCTTTTCCCTTTAAAAGTGAAAAGTCTGAGTACCAGGAGGAAACCCACTGGTGCAGGGCCACATGGAGAGTTGGTAGCAGAGACCACTGGAACAGTCCCTCCACTCCCTGACGATGGCACTTCATGACAGGTGTTCTGCCTTTTAGGATCATGAGTCATCAGAATTGTAGGAGAAAACCCTGGATATTTTAATTTTATTTATTTATTTATTTTGGCAGAACCGGGGATTGAACTCAGACCCTTGTGCTTGCCGGGGAAGCACTTATTCCACTGAGCCATCTCCCCGGCCCCTCCCCCTGTATATTTTAGATACGATATAAATTATGTTATAGCATTGGGACAATAGCAACTGAAATATTTATTGTACTGGGCTGGAATCAGCCATCCAAATCACAGCACTATAAAAAGCAGACTACAGTTTAGCTCACAGTTGAGCAGTGAGTTTATTCTTAGTCTCTATGCTAAGATGCTGAGGGACTGCTCTCCTAGGGGATTTGCTCCTAGTCCTTTAATGTCTCATCTTTCAAAGACAGTGATCACTGGTAGCATCTACCAGGAAGCCCTCTGGGGCCACAGGACCTCAACTATCACTCCAAAACCTTAGAGCTTCTGACAGTGCTCTTTAGAGGAGGTGGGGAGAACAAGACTGATGACACAAGCATTGCTTCAGTGGCTTGGCCTCACTAATGTATGACCTCAGTAAAACTGGACTACTACATCACTGACCTGATATCTCCCCTGAATCAGTTTTCATCATCTTTTGTAACCTTGAGTTTCTTTTTATAAGATAGAGAAACTGACCCCTTTCTAAGACTGGGCATTTTGGTAAGTGGTGGAACCAAGACATTTTTAAACACATTTGTATGAAATTTAAAAAACAAATACTTCTTGTTTTTCTATTTTGAATTAATATTCTCCTAACTATTCCCTGCCCTTTACTTCTTCCCTGACCTACCCCAGACCTGCCCAGTCCCCACCTCCAGGACAACAAGACCAGGGGCCTTTGCTGCTGGACACAGCACTTGTTTACTTTAACACTCAGGAGCCAATCTGAGCAGGCTGGAGGTCACAGATCCTCCAGTTGTATGATTAAAACAGAGTTCACCAACTAAA